TTTTTTTTTTTTTTTTTTTCCTCACTCTATTTTCAATGGAATGAATTTATGTTGTTTTAGCATTGGTAGGATCTAGTACTTTGGAAAGATAAATTTTATAGCTTATATTTTTTAAAAATATGTTATATGAGTAGAATCGGACCCCAACCGCGAGGTCAATTGCAGTAATTAAGTGAAGCTGAATGGTTATGAAATACTCAAGTCGATTCATTCGACGTCCAGACCTAATGACACTCTCTTTAATCCTTGTTCGATCTTTGTACAAGAATGATGCCATGTTGTATTTCGACATTTGGGAAGTCTTGAATGTTAATGTATTTGAGGTTTTGGTGTAATGATAGTACAACTAAGGTTATCGACCTTGGTTTGAGCCTCCTTTGAGAGTAAGGGTGAGTTGGTTTCTTTACACAAAGAAGTCAGGCTTCCTTCTAGGTGAAAAGTCTCTCTTGTCGTCGGTTTCTGTAGGTTAGAAGTCGCCAGTTACTCAATTGGTCAGGTCTTGGGTTTGCTCCCCAATGATCATCAGTTCGAGTCCCCTCAAGGTCACTGAGGTGAGTACCCGATCGTAAACTTTAACGCCCCGTGGAATTAGTCGAGATGCGCGCAAGCTGGTACGAACATCCACGATTATAAAAAAAAAGACTTTTTTCAAATAAATAGATACTTTATGATAAGTCCACCCAGCGAAAAAAGTGGCTCTACGGCAAAAGTACAACTACTATAATAAGCCCCTTCGAAGTTCATTTCCTGGACTAACAAGAAGCTACATACATCAGAGTACCTATCATAGACATCGAGTGTTTATTTGGTACATTGAACTAGACATAATAAATAGAAATAATGTAAAAACAGGTAAAAATGTCTGTTCATTGTTATTTGCCATTTAGGAAGCATATCTCAAGAATCCAACAGTATTAACATCTCAACTGGGGAGAACTAAATTTGTGAAATAGAAGGAAACAAAATGAATATTTGTGTATCAACGGCCTCTTGCCAGACTAAAATCGACTAAAGGAAAACAGACTACAACATCAAATATCGTCATGGAGACGAATAATTCCAGTTTAAAGACTTGATACAACACCTGCTTAGAGTCCTAATTTTAGACCATGTTCCGAGTCTCTTCTTTGATATAACTAAGGTGCCTTCTGTTTAGGGGCGGCCTTTTTCTTGAGTTGTTTCCTCCCAATAGAGTTCTTCATCCCTAGAAAAAATAGCAATGCGCCAAAAAGAGCCACGGACTGCCAAGAAATGTAGATCCAATTACAAAAAGTTTTACATTCATCACGCAAACTACCCAAAAAAGAGTGTTCGAGGGCATGATTGTTCAATTAGTATTTTGCAAGTACCTGAATGAACTCTGATAAGAGTCTGACAAATTCTGGCTCACCAACATTGTAGTTGTAGAAGTCATACAGAAGGGGAGTGGCAAATATCAAGTAATATATCTGCAGTACGAAATCGCGTGGTTAATAGTAACAAAATACATTTCAAATGGAAAAAAACTCATGATTCAAATTTTTTCAACAAATGAAAAGAAGAAAGACACATATTTTGAGATAATTTGTGACAGAAACGCACCAGAAGGAAAGCACCAGTAGAGCCGCCAAATACGAATAAAAGGCCTCCCAAACCCTTTAGAACAATACAGGCAGCAACAAAATGCCTAGTCTGCAAATCGCATATCCAAACATCAACATACAAAAAGAATTGAAACACTATTCTAAAATACTAAGGAAAACAAAGTGCAAATCAAGCATATTGGAAACGTACATCGATCTTTAAAGCACCTTTCCCGAAACTAGATGCTAGAAATTTCTCAACAGTAGCTAATTTGGCTGCCCATTCTTTTGCGGCAGGCCCACCATCTTCTCCAAAATCATTGAACCTAAACAGTAAAAACCATATTTTATACGAAGAAAAAAACAATAGAAGTTTTAGTAAACAAATAGGATCCACACAACTGGGAATAGCCATGCTCTTCGTTGCCATTATGGAATTAAACAAGCGAAAGATTGAACTTCACCAGTTTTGGATTAGAGAAGAATTTTCACGTTTATTGGCAAGAATACATGAACTGAACTAAAAACCACAAAAGTACTAAGAGTGAACTAAAACTGCACGTGTTAGTATGGCTATCTTACATAATATGAACCAATATAGAAATAGGTGGTAAAGAGTATTAGGCAGGATAATCAACCAATATATCAGGTTGAAAAGATTTGATTGACATATTTGGCTGTGTTCCAAAAGTAGAGTTAAACAAGATGTAAAACCATGTAAACCATAAATTGACAGATATGGGAACTTAATCTAAATTGAGAGATAATCAGGAAAATCAGTAATTAAAAAAAGGAAATCATGCAGTGAATGCCTATTTCCAGACGAATCCACCAGAAAACCTAAGCTACATCATCACTACCCAACAACCAGCTTGAAACTTAAACGACATTACAATTAGCCCACGGCATCATCAAGACGAGGCATACGAACAAAATGCAAAAAGAACCTGCTGAACTGCATTTGATTTGTCTACCAGGATCTTGGATTTGCATTCACCAATATAATTTTTTATAATCTTGAGTCTGGAAAATATCAAATGATGAAGAAGCCAAACCATCACATGAACTCCCAAGAAATTTTCACTTTGAACAAGCAAATATCTCATTGTGAAGAAAACTTATTTACATATAGTATCACACATTCACACTTCAGGAAGCTGACTAAAGGATTCGGTAAAGTTTATTCCTAATAGGTGCAACTCGAAACATGTATATTGCTCTAATAAAACTTTGGCAGTGTAAAGCTCAGACCAAGATATAGAAGATGCATTTCGGACAGGAACAAGAAAACCAACCCTTAACCATTTCAGGATACGAAGGTATTTAGCAAATATGCTTAAGCCAAATAACTCATTCTCATGCAACATTCCTAATTAAGAAATGCAATTTTGTAATATTACTATTCCAAATATATTTCACCTAAGAACCAGTAAATTCTTAATTTCTTTTGTTAAGATAATAGCATTCTCGTGGTGAAGTCAATGCTCAATCACAAATTGTAAGATATATGAGGTCATAATTATTGAAAATTCCAAGTTCGTGTTTTCATGAACATGTAAATGACTAGTCCGTAGCTACATCAGTCATAGTATAAAAAGGCGGTAGTGAGGCGCGCTTTGAGGCCCGCCTCACTGTGAGGCGCAAGTAGTATGCCTCGAGGCGGTATTTTTGAGGCTAAAAATATGAGGCTGTCGCCTCTAAATCTGAGGCGCACGCCTCATGGAGTTAAAATTTGATTTTTAAATTGTATGAAAAGAAATCATAAAGGGCCCTTCTTAAAAAGGAAAAAGCCCATTTAAAAAGACATTTTGGGCCCCAAACAAAACAATAAAATACATAGAAAACTAAACGGCAGCCAGAAATTAGAGGACCAAAAAGGGAACAGATTCAACAGAAATTCAAAAGTCAGAATTCAAGAAGAGTATCGTTTTCTACATCAGTTCAACATGTACGTTTTTCCTCTTTTCTTTTTCTTAGGGTTCAGTAAATCTTGCATTTAATTAGTTGCTTCATATACACATCTGGAAATTATAAATTTTATAAATGTTTTGATTTATATAATTAACAAACGATTTCATCCAATCCTTTGTATAAACTCTAAAACTAGATGAAGATGGTTTTGTAGAAAATTGAGAGTAGCGAAAGGAAGATGGAGAAATTAGATATGATGATTCCACTAACGATGCTAGTAATAGTGATGATAGTGCAAACTATTAGCTTTTTTTTTTAGTTTAAGCTGCTTCTTTTTTTCCATTGCAAATGGAGTGATTTCTAACTTCTGTAATACTTTTTATTTTGCTAAACATCTTCTTTCTTTAGGTGAACTATATCTCTATATACTAATGGCTATATATCCTATTTACTATATGCTCCAACTTTGAGCTTTTTTATATTTTTGTATTATTTTATAATTCTTTTACTTAAATTTTTTTTGTGAGGATTACGCCTCAATCCGTCTCGAGGCTTACGCCTTGCCTCATAAAGAAAAATCGTCTTAGTACTCAGTTTCGCCTTTTTAAACCTTGACATCAGAACAGAAAAATAATTACTTTCTATTTGTTTAAGAAGAAAACAATTAGCAATTTTATTGAGTAGGTCATTTCACATATCCGCAGGTCAAAGATCTTGTAAATCAATCCAATAAAAGATCCATCACTATCTACACAAAGATACATCGAATTCACAATAACCACATCAAACCATAACAAATTTTAGTCTTTCTGTTAATGAACTCTTCTTAAAGAATTGCAAAGTTGTGAGCATTATGATGCATGTAAACAATTGTAAATGAATGCATCTATCTATGTAGATAAATGACCATTTTGATGGGGTTGGGATGCGGTGAGTGATGTAAATAATTAAACATCCAAGGGCGGAGCCAGCACCTCCACGGGAATTTACAAGCACAGAGAGCACCCCAGACCAGATACCAATCGTCGTGAAGTGAAGACACGGAAGAAGGGGAAAGATGAGCTTAGTTGGGCCAATTTTTTTTAAAAAAAATTTGTGGGCCTTCTGTTTAGTTTGGCCTTTTTTTAAAACAATAGTTACAAAATGAATTCAATTTTGCAAAGGAACAAAATTGCCCCAGCCTATATGACATTTACAAAAAAATACAAAAAGCAAACCAAATTTACCAAACCGTATCTTTGAATTCTAATTCTAATATCTAAGCTACCTCCGGCTGGATAGTAGCCCCGATGCAAGCGTCACGCCACTACCAACTTGATACTTGTGACCTTCTGCTACCGACGTCTCTCCGCCACTGCCTGCCGTCGCTTGACTACGACTGTGAGCCTCTCTTCTTTATTTATTTATTTGTGTTTTTGTTTTTTTTAGTTCATTTTGATGCCATTTTAATTTAGAACTCGAAGTCTTGAAGTTGAAGTAATATTTTATATGTATTGATAATTTGATTGAAGATTTATTATGTGAATTGTGATGATTTATGATTTATGAAAATTAGGAAATTTGTGAATATGTAGAGCTTGTTTGGGAGGGACTAAAATCATATTAAAATTGAAAATATAGCTATTTGAGTTGACTTTTATTAGACGAGTGGGACCCAATAACGGCTATATTTTCAATTTTAATTGGATTTTAATTCTTCCCAAACAAGCTCGTAATAAATGATAAATTGTGGAATTTGTGATATGCGATTGAAACTTGATGATAGTTTAAAATTAAGTTTAATTTACATTTATTATGTGATTTAAGTTTAATTTTCATACATATTATGGAATATTTTTTCTTACAGATTATAGAATATTTTTTCAACCGAAACGAAAGTCACAACCTAGTTCTTCTACTGCTCTAGTCTCGCCACTGCTTCTAGTTGAGCACATGAGTTATTAACCATTTATAACACAAAGAAGTCTTGTGCTCAATTCAACGTGGATAGCCTCATGTCCGATCCAGAAAACTTCTACTTATTGAGTCATATGATCCTTATATAAGAGACGATATTAGGATGTCATACTTAGAGAAAGATTATTGTCAACCGCATGGGCATGACTTTTCAGAAGATTGATGGGAAATGATAATAGGTTTTTAGGAAAGAATGATTTTTTGAATTTTATAAGTTGGAGTACACTTAAAAAAGGATGCAGCTTATTATTTGTATTGCTACTCGTTCAAACTTGATAGAGGGGGTCAAGGGAGTAGACATGCATTTACTCAAACAGACTTTAGGGATTGGAAACACAAAAAGACTTTGAAAGATCACGTCGATCTCTTTGATAATGTTTACAATCAATCTTTCGTTAAGTGCACCAACTTGATGAATCAAACGCAAAGTACCTCCTTCGCTTTTTTTAGCCAAAGTAGTAACTAACAAAAACGTTATAGGATGAGGATGATTGTGGTGCTAGATTATACTAGATTCCTCTTGATATAAGGATTGCCTTTCCGTGGTCATGATGAGTCAAAATACTCCACTAATAGAAGAAATCCAATTGAGTTACTAGACTGGTATGCAGCTTATTGCGAGGAAGTCAAGGAAGTAGTATTTAGTAATGTCCCTGGAAATGACCAAATGATTTTACCAAACATCCAAAAGGATTTGGTTAACTGTTGTGCTGTAGAGACAACAATGACTATTATAAAGGAGATGGATGATTCTTTATGTATATCAATTTTACGTTTTAGTGCATTTACATATAAATTGAAATTTTTTTAGTATTATTTAATTAAATATTAATAAATGTCCTCGCTATTGCATGTGTTGACTGTCGACGTTCAATTGTCAATTGTCGCCTTAGCTCACCAACATTCCTAGATCCACCACTGTAAACATCCACGTTTCTTTGAAGAAATACAACATAAAAAGGTGTTTTCAGTATAAAAGGAATAATGGTGGAGTGTTTTCTTTAACACGTGGATGATTTCTCTCAGCAATTTACAGAAACGCAAGGCTGTCATAATTAGACTGCTATTACAAGTCAGAATCTGAATGCAAATTGCCAAATGCCAACCCATATCTCAATCTAGGCTAATATTTATTATTCCTTACCACTAGAAGGATGCAAAGAATCTTCAAAAATCACATTTATTCTAAACCTTGCTTTCCACCAATAAGTATTTTTTTAAGCTAATTAGCCAAACATTCACTGGAATACTTAGAAAAAGTGTTTAACCATGGTAGAGTCCTCATATAAAAGTCAAATGTGGCAATAACTTTGAAATGTTTGTTTAGAATTGTGAACCTTAATAGCTAGGTTGGTTTTGTAGGATATTGTAAATGTTGAACTAAAAGAAGTTTATAGTGAAAAACAAGACTTGGGTTATCTGGTCCTAGTTTAGAAACTTGTAGACTTCACTGAAAACTAATTAGACAAAAAATCTTCAAAGCCAAAATTAGAGAGCCCATTTATGATTTCTACCCATACCCATTGCAGCTATGAAGTATTGTCTCTTTCCTGAAAAAAGGATCTCCTCCTACTTGACCCGAAAAGGGTAAAATAAATTAAAAAAATCATATCATAATCAATATTTTGCAGTGTACTAATAACACGTAACATAGGCAAATTACATAGTGAAAAAAATCAGAACCTGGGATTTTCGATTTCTTTTTCATTATTTCTATTTTTCCTTTTTTCCCTAAAACAAGAACTAGATCTGACCATACAAAACAAAGCTTAATCAATCAAATATAGAAAGTGGGTTAACAATTATACATACATATACAGAAATATGCATAATTAACAGATCTGGACACACAAAGAGAGAGAGAGAGAGAGAGAGAGAGAGAGAGAGTATTATTTTTTTTTTTCTTTACATTTGCCATGCAGAGAGGATGAAGATTGAAGCGAATAACAGTCTTCCAAGAAACGAAAAGAAACCCATTGCTTGCACTGGCCTTTGCTCTTTGTTGAAGAAAAAAAGGTAAAGGGATCCCAAGATTGAATTTATGTAGAGATACTGAAATAGTCTACGATAGCTCCACTCTATTGGGTTCTGTTCTGTAGTCGGATTTTCTTATTTGTCGTGCTAATTGAAATAGAGGAACAATTTTTATATCTCAAACCACAATTTATATTTAAAATTCTTAATTTTTGCTCATTATATTATTTATTTCCTAATAATTTTTCATGTCATTTTTATCCTCAAATTTTTTATTAAGTTGCATATTTTTTATTTGATAACAATTTTATATTCAAAAGTTCGTTGAAATGGCGTAAAACAATTTATTTTCCCATCACATTTTTTAAAAAATAAATAAATTACGAAAAACTATTTTTCTCTTGTTTCAAAATATGAAAATAAAATATTTTGATATAGTTCTCCATGACAAGACATACTAATTAATGGAATGCTGAAAATAAGAATTCGACAAAAAAAAAAGTTTAGAAAATAATTGTTATAATAAATAAAGATTGAAGAACTTAACTGCAATTAAAATATGACGTATCAAGTAAAAATTGTCTTGGTAATATAACTACCTACTAAAATAATGTATTATAGAATTTAGAAAAAATTACATACATCTCTCTAAGGTTACAAATACGGCCCCACTTATTTTAAAAATACACGAACCTCGTCTCTTAATAACACAAGTTTCTAATTCTACCATTTCTCTTATGTTTATATTATACTACATTTGTTTTATTATCATCTTTTTCTTAATTTGAAATTAGCTTAACAAAATTGTTTTATTTTTTTAAAAAAAAAAGTTATTGTTTTTATACTACAAATGATTTCATTCTAAGCATAAAAAACAATCAAATTAAAATGAATCTGAAATATTTACTATAAAAAGGAAATTAAAAGAAATCTAAACTATAAATAATTGATGGTGACATTATTGGTATTATCCGTTGGATATTGTTGAACAAACTTCACAAAACTGAATATCGAATTTACTAATTGAGTATCGGATATGCAGAATAAATACCGTATTAGTGAATTTTACTTAAAGTGTGGGCACGTCCTACTGAATTGAAATTCTGCCAATTTTATTTAAGGCTTATGAAATTCTGCCAAAAGTGGAAGACTCGCGCCGTATTTGCTGTTAACAGGATATGCACTAGCAGATTCAACAATTATGAATACAGCAGATTCAACAATTATGAATACCAGATTTAATACTCTAGTAGTAAAGTATAACAAGTAATAAAATGGGTTATTGGCGCAAAACGTCCCTACCTTTGAAGGGTTGTGTGGAAAACATCCCTACGTTCGATTTTTTGGTGCGCAACGTCCCTACCTATCAAGTTTATTGTCGAAAACATCC